TTGGAGTGTGCCCTTATCTTCTGTCACCTAGTATAATATAAGTAGTAAGGACCCGCAGTAGTATAGAAACACAAGCAAAGACTCTCTCAAAGTCTAAGTTCACGGATTAGTCGCTCTATCATTGCCGACCCACGTCCTACTTAATCTTCCTCTGCTCCTTGGCCTGCGATAACAAGCCCCTCGTTTTTTTCCAAAACTAACAGACTAAAAGGCTAAAACGAATCCATATCTGCAATTTAAAATCAGTGTCAACTCGTCAGTTACTCTAATAGTAAAAAAAATAAATAGAACTTGGAATAAATATCCAGTTAATTCTTGGAATATTATTCGGCCTTATTTTCGACACTTGACGATTAAAAGTCACGGAATTTAAAAGCATCAACAACGTCTCCGTCATGTCAAGTTGACGGATCAGCGTGCGCACTCAGGAAATTACCCAATTTCCGCACTGTACCTGCTCGTGTCTGCATTTAATAGTGCAAGCTCTTGCGATTGTTTTACCCAACACACACATTGTATTCCTCTGAAGATGTGTGTATGTGTAAAGGCTTTACCTTGGCCACCTAGACTCAACTCAAAGTCTTTGATAACTCGAGTACTATCGTCTTGTCCTACAGGCAGCCTTACTTGCAAGGGTTGCCGAGGGAAAGAGCACCGATCGATCGAGGTGAGACCCCCAAGTGTCTGTCCTGCAATATATATCATTCTTTACCTCTCCTGTCTTTATTTTTTACTTCTTTAACAATAAAAGTATTTTATCTAAAAATAAGTATAGTTGTTAAATATTACTCTCTAAATCTGAAACAGTGAAAATCACTGGAAATTAGTGATATATTCACTATTTCACAGTTATAAGTATACCACTTGGTATACTTATAGCTGTGAAACAGTGAAATTCCACTGATTCATTTTAAGAGAGTAAAGAAAATCATTTTTAAAGAATTTATTATATTGAAAAATTCACTCAAAGTATGAAAAATTCTTCAGTTTAAGAACTTTTCTATAAAAAAAATTTCTGATGTGTGTATACACATGTATGTGTGTAAATCTATAGATATGATTTTTTTGATGCACAGTAAAAAATTTTGCGTCATTGCATCAAAAAACTTAGTGTTAAAAATTTTTGTGTTGAATATTTAACACTTTCATGTATAAACTTAACATTTGTCCTGTTAAATCAACACAAAAAAGTATTGTATTGTGTTTATTGAATATACCAAGGTAATCAGCTGAATGGCAAGAAATTTTATATAGTTTTTAACAATTAAAACAACTTACAAAAACTAAATTAATAAATTTTAACATAAAAAGTGTTTAATATTTAACATAAAACTTTTTAACACAAAATTTTTCAACGTAATGACGTAAAATTTATTACTGTGTGTGGCCAAATGTGTCCTAATATTAAAATTAGCCATATCTGTTACAACCAGGATATTCGGAAGGAGAAATTCAACAATATAAAGATGATTTAGTTTAGTTTATGAGAGTATATTTAAAGTCAACGAATGGCACAAATGCTTTTTTTAAAATATTGAGACAAGATGATACAAATTACAAGTATGTAAGTTAACAATGATCCGCACAAGTGGTCAGCACGAATGTCAGAAAGACACTGACTGTGGTTCCTTCTTTTTGGTAAGACCCATGTACTGAGGGTACAAAAAGGTCATAAAACTGACCGAATTACTAGATTTCAGGTAACTCTGTACACATCTCCGATGTTGTGTGTATCGTTGTTAAATTCCAACAATATCAGACATGCCATATATGACCCAACATCTTCTAATAGGGTCTGATATGTCCTTTAATACGAAATTTTAAGATCAATATATATCAAGTCACATGGCCACCTAATTAAATGATTGAATTGTTCAAAATAATTTTCACGACCCATCAAGACATTTTTTTTCAATCAAATTAATTTTTTCATCAATCTTGAAAAACCAAAAAAAAATTTGGAACCTTATCTATTCTCAAAAAAATCTCCAAATAAAATTCTTTACAAAAACCTGTCGACCAAGAAAGAGAATGAGTAAAGGCTTGAGTATCATCCCGAAGCTCATAAAATGTATAGAGTATAGTGTCTCAGCAGCAGCAGCAGCAGCAGATGCCAGACCCGTTTCCCTTTCCTGGTGTCTTTTCTCACCAACACACGTGCACCCCACCCTCACACCGTTGGGCGGGACGGCTCCCCTCTTTCTGTCCACCTTCCCCTGAAACCCCTGAGCTGGTTTCCCCACTCCGAGGTTGCGCGTTGACGCGAGGCTTTGACAGTGGGGTTTTGTCGACAGCTTTGGTTTGACGCCAAAGGGGAATCACCTACTGCCGGTCGCCGAGTGTCCCACCGATCCACGCCTTCGATTGCGTCCCATTGGCTCTTTCGGATGTCTCCAGAAGCACCCAAGAGGACACACGCCCATTTTCTCTCGACTACCTTGCTCGACGTCACGTTAATTAATGCTCTTTGACCCGACACTCTTTCACGATAGCTCTACGTCTCTATTGACACAATACACATAAAACTTCAAGCCAGCTTACTGCCCATCCATCATTCTGCCAATTGTCCATTATTTCTATTATTTATTACTCATTTTCATTATTATGCAACTCTGCTAGCGCAATTACAATCACAATTACTGCTCGAATAACGCAAACACTATCCATCTATCTGTCCTTGTATCTTTATACTCCTGCACCAGCAAAAGTCAATTGAACTTGTGTAACAAAGTATGGCAGTAACCCAGAACCTAGCAATCTAATGTGTGAGGAGCATGCATCCAGTCAGTACGAGGTAATGTAAGAGCTAGTCCGAACTTCAAAGACGAGCAGAACAATATTTACGAGGCTATAAAAATAATCTAGAGCTCAGTCTCCAGCACTTAAATGTATATAACGCATATGTTTGCAAACAGCTGGGTAGCGAGACTTCAGGCTAATTTAAATGTCCATGTTACACCATCCACATCCACCAATACCAATCTCGGCCTCTAACTTTGAATTCGATATGAGTTATTTCATTAGTCATTAATCTATTTATCTTTGATTGAGACTGCTTTCATTTTACGGAGCACATCTCGTTAAAAAAAATTTCTGATATGGCTTGATAGAAAAATTAGTAAAACTTTAGATTTTTTATTAAGCCTAAAAAAATCTAAAGACAAGAAAAAAATTCTTGGTTCAATAAAACTGCACTTCAGCCAAAAAAAGTTTCCTTTTTTTAGAAAATTAATTTCTAAGTTAAAATTTCTTATCAATGAAAATTTTATTCAACAAATTATTACGAAGAAAAAAATCTTCAAGATTGCATTATTTATCGTAAATTTATCTAGGTCGAAAAGTAATTGTGAGGTCACACATCTGGTGCTCGAAAAAAATAAAACAGTGATCTTTGTGTCTTTGCGCTACAATCAGATACTGATAGACATTCTCGAGACGGAAATGTTAATAAATACAAGTGTTCGATTAACAATATTATTAAAACAAAATAAAATAAAATAAAACAAGCTGCCTATAAAATGTAATTTACTGTTGTTTTATCTTTTGTCTTTGTATATGTTATATCTTTTATTTAGCAATAACATCCTCAGGCAGTAAATTCTTCACGCATTATTTAAATGTCATGACATCTAATAAATAATCTCCGGTCTTTGATATTTTTATTTCACAGAAACAAAAATTTTATCTGTATAAATTCACAATATTTCCGACTAAACTTTTTTACTTTTATCTCGATTTCCATATAATTGACGTCCTTACATCCTCAATTGAGTTATTCGGGCAACAAAAGGTGAATCTAAAGAAAAGGTCTTGCATACTATACTACATTCTACACATTAGATATTACATATGAGCCTACAGTCTTTGTATAGTACATATCTATATGTAAACCGGGATTTGAGTGAACACACTGAGCTCACAAACACAATAAAGCCTGTTCTCGGTAATCGTCGGCTGAAATCGGCTGCTTTCGGTCGTGGTCGCGCGCAACCACTTGGTTCGCGATCGCGCACTAGAACCCGGCTTCATTTTTCCATTCACTGAATTATTTTATCCGTATAAAATCAGTTAAAGACAATAAATAAAATCTTGATTGAAAAAAAGCTCACATATTCATTAATTAATCTCTCGATAAATTTTTTATCATAATTATTATTGTCATTACTAACAGAAGACTCGACCAGCATCCACCGATTGAATTCAAACAAAAAAACCCTGAGTGAGTTGAGCGCGCGGTTATCCACGATTAATTACGAAAACGCACGAATCCTCTCGCGGCTGCCAAACGCGGGGCGAGAGAGTCGCTCGTGGTTCGCTCGAGGGAACGGACGAAGTCGCGAAACCTCCGTTTTAAATAAAATAATATTAATAAAAATAAAATTAATAATTAAAATTCGATATTTTTATCAAAACTGGTAAGTAGTGATAAAAGTGTGTTTTACAGTGAAAAGTGCTATAAAAACTAGTGACTGTGACCACCGGGTGCCACTGTTAAATACAGTGTTAGATTTATGTGAAAGGTTTATAGTAATAATCATGATAAGTGTTTAATAATCAAACGTGTGCGGAATGAATCCCGCGTAGAGTTAAAATCATCGCGCGTGACAATATTTGGAGGGAAAATTTTTTGCAGCTTGGTGAGTTGTAGGCGGGGCTAAAATCGGAGACACGTGACACGGAAACTGTCACGCCGCCCTTGCCTTCTTCCCCTACTACGGCGACAACGACGTTTACTACTACTACTACTACTACTATTTCTTCTCTATATTATATACTATCATCACTCTTTATATCGCAGTATAGTATATAGTGTACTATATAGTTTACTCACTCACTCAGTTCCCTCCAGGACGACCCCACTCCAGGAGCGAAAACTACCGAGTGAAGTCGCGTCTCTTCGTGACTAATGCACTCCATATCGCTGCGTAATTTCTGCTACTATGTAGTAGACTGTCAACCAATTGCTACCTTTCGGCAACTTTTTTGAGAATTTTTGGAGGATGCAGCAGACCGAAATTGGCCGTGATCGAAGACCAGACTCAGAGACCAGGGACCGGGTGAGGATCAAGCAGGAAATCATTGACGCAGAGGTTAAAGTCAAAGTCAAGCAAGAGGTTCAGGTTAAGCTAGAAGAGGAAAATAACACTAACTATGAAAATGGGTTCGCGATAGATCAGGATTTAGAGAGGAAAACTGGAGGAAATTTTGGACGAAACTGTCCTGCGATGCATCCCGCGTATCGCGCCGTCGGGGGACCCGGACCGCCTAATAGTTTTGGATTTCCTCATTTCTTTCCTCCGAATTCTTTTGGAATTCCCAATTTTATGGATCCACAGTCTCAACATTCTGAACAGGAGAAAATTCATTTTTCTAAGAATTTCTTGCACCCCAGACAGGAGAAAATAAAGGATTTGGAGTACAGGAACTATGAGCAGAAATTTGACATGTATCATTTTCGCACACCTCCGGAGTTTTCGCAGTTGATACAGCAGCAACATAGTATGAGGAGTTTGTACTCGGGAAAACATTCGAGAAAATGGAGCAATAATTTGCCGGCGAAGTTCGTCCAACCAAATGTGAGTTTTAGAGTTAAGACTGCAGTGGTGGAAAAATAAAGATGATTTTTGAGTTAAGAAAAATTTATCAACCCAAAAGCAATCCCTTCAATAATTTTTTTGTTTGATTCAAGATCATCAAACTCTCTAAAATAACTTTCTTGGTTTAAGATTTTTTATCTTTGAATAAAAGAAAATTTTTCTCTCGCTTATTTTATAAAATTGTACACAAGTAGAAGAATTCTTGAAGATTGAAGATTGAATCAAATAAATTTTGTTTCAGTGTATAAAATTTCCATCATACGTTTGCAATCATAAATTCACAAAAAATTAAATTTCTCTAATTCAGAGGTAATAAACCATTGAATTTACTTTAAAAAAAAAAAAATACAAAATTGCCCAGCAATTTCTTTAACTGAAAGTCTGTTTGGTAAAAATTCTCCCCTCACTCTATTGTTCCGAAGACTTTAATTTAAACAAGCAGTAAAATGCTTCAGTGAAGTCGTAACAAAAATTTCCTGAAATGCGTGAGCTATTTACGACTACTGTTTGCGTAAGTGCTCGCTGACACTAAATATTATTCTGGAATCCTCAAGCTCAAAGTAAAGCCTGAATACAAAGTGTTATATTTGTATTTATATTTATAAATTTCCAGGCTTTGGCAAAGAGCTGGAGCTGAAGCCGGAGGGCAAAAGTATGCAGTCATTTAGTGTTATTCTCAATCTCCATCTCAGTCCCAGTAGATCTTGCATGGGAACTAAAACGCTGTCCGTCGAACTGAACCGTTACGTCGTAATACGCGGCCGAACGATCTCGCGTTACTGCGTTATTTATTCCGAGAAATGGTTTCACTGTGAAATCGCGTCCTCTGCGTATATAGAAGAAGTATCTATAGGTATAAATATACAACAGAGAAAAGATGCAGTAATCACAACACACTTAGACTTCAGACTGAGGAAAGAGGAAAAAACAGATGACGTTATACGGTCCGCGGTCCATATAAAATTTATTTTATCGTTATTATAATAACAGACTAGCCAGTCCAGTCAGTAGTCAATAATCGCCACACTTGGTCTTGCTCTTACTCTCTTCTCTTGTTCTCATGCTCTAACTCATACTGCTGAGCGAAATACGGGGTATAAATTTACAAAAACGAGTGTCGCTGGATTTAGCTTAAGAAATAACACACCTGTACGTCAAGATAACGTCAAGGGACTTTTAGACCGTGGCGAGTCGAATAAGGCGATTGAATCGACGCCGATCCATTCAGATGTTATTCACCACCTCTGGCTGTGGATCTTCTCTCGGGCTTATACTCGATACAGCCAACAGCAAATAAAGGGATTCCCAATATGTAAGGATTTTTACTCCCGACTTATTTTTTTTATCGCGCGTCCTTCCCTAAGAGGCAACATAAATTTTCGTTGCATCCGTGATCCAGGATAAGTCTACGGCATACCGTCCAATTTGGAAGCCCGCAGTTATGTTCAGGTGATTCATTTGCTTCGATTAAATCACTTATATGGATTATATATCCTTCAGCCTTTTCTGTGTCATTTTATAGATCAAAAAATGCTCAATTTTTATTTTGGATCTTAATTTTGATCTTTTGGATTAAGGGAAAAATTTTTGAATCAAGTAAAATTTACTCAAATTAAGAACTAACATTTACTGATAAAAAATCCTTCAGTTTCTTGGTTCAAATTTCTTCTTGAAGTACAATTTTGAGAGTAAAGAACAAATCTCTAGTCTTCAGAGATCTAATATAATAATTAAAGTATTAACATGTGTAACACATGAATTTAATAGGAGAAATAAATCATTACAAGCCATTGAGTCAGTTAATGAACCATTATAATGTTATTTTAGTACATGGTCAACTTTAAATACCTTGTTATTGTTAAATGAGAAGATAATAAAATATAATAATAATCTATGAAGAAGATTAAAATATTTGAATCATAAATAACTAATGAGAATAGTTGTAAACATTTCTCATTTGCATAACGCACTGAATTTATTTATTTATTTATTTATTTATTTATATGTACAATGATCGTACATAATAATTGTGAAGGGTTAAGCTTCAAACTCAAGCATTTCTATTTACCGATTTATCATTTATCATTCATCATTCACTATCATCTGTCATCGTTATACTCATCTATAATTTTCCAGTCTGCAATAATCTGTAACACTTTACGGATTATGACAGGTTTGAAAATTGTACGCCAACTAAAACTCACCAATGTACGGTAATAACTAAACGCGGAAATGTTACTGCACTAAGTAACAACATAATGGCACCGATGACATCACTCTTGTACATATTTATGTTTATTTATTATTTTCTGTGTTTTTAACTTCCATTGTAATATTTTAAATATCTGTTCTCGTAATATTGTGGCATAAAAACAAAAAATTAAATATTAAAAATAAAAATGATGTCGCGTCTATTATAAAGCTCCAACTCGCGGACGTGGAAATCGATCTACTTGTTTTTTCTCGATTGTTGCGCCGCTTGCTGGACAATAAGTAGCGGATTGTTACAAGACTTTACGGCGTGGAAAAGATTATGCCTTCCGTTTAAATATAATACGATGAGTTTTTAAATCACAACCATTAGAAAGTCTGAAATAAATTAGAAAACTGTGATTTCATTTTTTCTAAGTAAACAAATAATTTACGCTGTAAATGCTGATGCATTTATTTTTAATTCAATTTGTCATCGTAATCGATAACTTATGAGTTATAAGCAGGACCAGGATGATTGTTTGGTGGAATAATTTATTTTTTATTATTTTGAACAAATTTGAACTATTTTATTGGAAGAAGGAAAAAAAATTAAATCACCGTTATTCAAAATTTAGCTAATTTCATCTTTCATCATTTCTAGATTAGTCATAATTTACAACAAATCATAAACCTAACTTTATGAAATTAATTACATTAAATATGAAGGAGGTGAAAATATGAAATTAAATTATAAAATGCAGTTTGAAATAGAAATTTAAAGACTAAATTAAGAGTAAACAAGACAAATGTTGAAACTTAGAATAAAAAAACAATTTTCCTGTTCTTAATTTTATCTTTGTTTTTTTTAGTCTTAATTAATGTTTGTCAAACATAATTTTGATTTTTATTTTATTTTTAGTCTAAAATTTTGTCTTCTTTGGCGTCCTAATATCTGTCTCATGTTACGTCCTATTTTTTTATCTTACATTAATTTTTGTCTAAAAGTCCTGGTCCTGCTTACAACATAATTATATATTTCAATAGTTGATACAAATTTTATTCGATTTTCTGTTTGTTATTCCGACAAAATTTGTGTGATCAGTACAATTACATTACAAACTGATTAGTCGGGTGGGTCAGAGGCGCACGTCGGCACAAAATGGTTTTTTTAGTGGCATGTGTGCTCTATTGGGCGCCCCTCAGGTAGAAAAACAGTCTGCTCAACAAAGGCTTGATATGTCGATGCTACGCATCTGGCGAGCGGTGAACGGATCTACTCTACTAACTCTAAACTTATACCAGGGGGCGTGGGTTAACATATACATGTATAAAATATATAAAATATATGTACACCGAAATATATTAAGTACATTTCATGTGGCGTGTGATCACGTCCCATTGTCATGTCGGGACAGAAAAATACATTTTATTAATCATCGTCATTCCCATCAAACCTCTCAATAATTCAACAAACATGAATAAATTTACGCTTCTTCTTCGTCTTAGTCCTTTAATTTATTTAACCACTAAATCAGAGAGGACAAATGGGTAAAATAATCAACGTTGAATAGCAGGTCGTTGAACATATAAAATTATCATAATAATAATAACAATAATACTATGCATCTATTTATAAATACACATGAAGTTGGACCATCAATATTATAAATTTGGATTGTGGATGGAATAGAGAGACAGGTTCATTTATTATAAGGTCAAATTTACAGTTCTTGGAAATTTTTTCATTACTGAATTTTTGAAGAAAATTCTGGTGTCCAAAATCTTGTATTGATATAATTGATTAATTTATTTTTATCAATACATACATTGAAAATAAAAATTCTTTGCTGAAGAAAAATTTTACTTGGACTTATTTTAAGTAAATTTTTTTTTCTGTGCAGAGTTTCAAAATTATCTATCAATAAAACTCAAGTCTTGAATATTCTAATAATAAATAATAAATAAAAAAGGGTATGTACTGTAAACTGTAACACTTTTAACAAAAAAATTGATGTCCTTATTTCTTGACAAAAGCTCGAGGTGTTCAAATTCATCAAAAAACCATTTCCGGATGTGCTGTGGTTTCCGAAACTCAAAATATCGACGCGTGGCCAACTTGCGTACCGATATAACTAAAAAACACAATGCACAAAAATACAATAAAAAATAATTTAGAGAAATTTTCACGCAGCTTCCGCAGCAGTATTCAGAGTGAGAAAAATTCAAATGTGCTGACTTCAACTTCTTACAAAACCGATTCTTAAACAGAATATTAATACCCTTTATACTTTATATAATATTTTATATATATTGTCGGTCCGATAAGGAACGCGTGCTCACTTCAACCACGAGCCCAGAAACCACACGGTAATTATTCATTCTTCATCCAGTAAAGTGTATTATTCTTTTTGTTCGCTATTTCCATACTTATAAGCACATAACTTTTTTACTTTTCTATAAATATTTTTCCCAGTGTAGCGTGACGCTCGTTGCTTTGTCATAGGTCTTTTCCTTGAGGGTAACCAGCCATTTTTCCCTTATTTTTTCTACTATTACACACTCTCTCTGCGGTTTCTCGATTCCCTTTTTGCTGGTATCAATTTTTTCGCTATTACGTGTCGACGTTTTTCTTTTTTTTCCTCAATAACACTCGATACTTTTCGAAATTTATTTATAAACAATTGTTCGATACGATTTATTCACAGAAAAAAGGTTAAATTTACCTAAAAATTAACATTTCTTGAAATCAATAATTTTTTTTTGTAAATTTCACAATATTAAAAAATTAAAATCAACAAAAAACCCTTTTTCTTATTGAAAAAGAGTTCATTTTTGGAGTAACAAAGAATTGAGGAATTACATTACACAATTTTTCTATTTTAATATGCAGCTTAATATGTGTTTATATAACCATATGAAGCCTTATATGTAATTGGCCAGATATGAAACTTGACGATACCAGAAAATTGTTAAGTACTGTGAAAATTCCAGCTCAGACTTTAAAAACTGTATTTTCACCCTGTTCTTCCCTATAACTCTTAGACCTCGTCGATTACAACGTCATATACAAAAGAACAAGACCATACTGGGAGTGTTTTACGAGCGCTGACACCTTGCCGACCTGGACTGTAGTTCTCAGCCCGGTGCTTTGGGATTGCACCCCTGCACTGCACACTGCACATATAAAATACTCTCCTCGGTTCACTGTTATTCGCTTTCTTTATCACTTTCATTCTCTCGAGTCTTAAGACCCTCTATTTCATCTTTCATCCTCCATCCTCCATTCTCTGTCCTCCAGATCCAAGCCCTCGCGTCTCTACACTGTTAAACCAAAGTATATACAATATTCTCCCGGTGATATTACGACCGTGAATATTAAAGTAATTGATGCCTCCATAAAACAGTGAACAGCACCTTCGATGTCTCACCGTACAGCACACACACACTTAGCGATCCCTTTACTAGCTTGTATTGTGTCTGGAGCAGCGCGGTAAATACACATCTATATACTACATAGTCATTTATACATATTATTAAAAAAAGACATTCTTGTTGCAATATTCCTCGGATATAAACCTTTATCTTATTTTCCATTCCCTTACATTATTATTTCCTTCTCCTTCTCTTCCTCTTCCTCATCCTCTAATGTCATTCCTCTCAGCTCACTTTCACGTTGCAAAAACTCTCGCTACTGTGTAACAATAATTTAAATTTAATTTGCAACTACACGAGCTCACAAAATCAAAAACAAACAATACTTTGATTATTGCCGTGTTGTGTTAATATTTATCAGTAGTCGCTGATAATTTAAAGGGCTG